TTCCCCAAAGATTAAAAAAATAAGCGCAGACAGTATGTGCCTGAGTTTGTTAGTCAGAGGTTGGGTTTGAGGTTTTTGTTTTTTCTGAGGGGAGGGAGGCTTGAGGTTTTAAAACTAGACTTTTTATATGTAAGAAATCACTTCCACTCATATTTGTGAATGTGGAATTCTGCATAATTTTCATATTCGAATCTAATTGTTGACTCATCCCTTTCAGTACCTACCAGGCTGTCAGTTGGGAAAGAACAGGAAATATTTGTATATTAGACAAGTTCCTTGTCTAATATCGAAAGTACTTTTTCCAGAAAGGCAAGCACAGTAAATTAACTCTTGCCACAAAGTTGTTAAAGAAACAAGCCTAATCATGCTGGGGGTGAGACATCGAACTACAAGATCAGCTCGTCAAACACACCAGCTGCTCCCAAGGAGGAAAACGAGGCTTGCTGCTCCTGTGGGGAAAACATATTGTACATGTACAGAAAGAGTCTCATAAACCCTGTATGGGGTGCTATGAGTTAGTACTGATTTGATGGCTGTGAGGTAGTCACTATTAAGCACAACTACTCATTAAAGGCTGAAGGGTGTCAAAGGTTAAGAAACTAGTTCAATTTTTTTTTGAAATGGGTAAACAATAGACTGGGTTCATCTTTATGACTGTATTTCCTTTCCTCTTGGTACCATTTACCCCGATGCTGTATTGTTCAGGGTTCAGAGAGACTGGTATCTTGTGTTGGTAAGTACATTACTATTTGCGAAAAAATGGTGCCTACTCCATTCTCACCAAAGAAGGTTAAGGATAAGGAAGGACTTCCTATTTGCTATGTAGTTTAGTTGTGGCAGGGAGCAGGGTAACAGATCATGAAAAGAATAAGTTCCCCTCACTGTAGAAAGAAAACATTGTACTGGGCCAAGGTGAGGGTAGAAGGGTCAAGGTTAAGACAGAAGGGTCAAGGTTAAGGCAGGGAAAGAGTGAAGGCAGTAGCAACAAAAGAGGTCTTGATTTATTTTCCACTTGCTTCCTCCTTGTCCTCATTGAAGGTAGCCAGAGTATTTAAGAGACCCCCCTTGGCGTGTTAGTGTTCCAACTCCTTGAACTGCCAGGGTTAAAACCGGTACTGAAACGATTTCATTTTCATTGTCTTATGAAAGCAGAACCCTCTCCCAGGGGCCTTTAGACCAGGGGCCACCAAACTTTGTAAAGGGAAAGATAGTAAATATTAGCAGTGGTGGGCTGTATCACAACTCAACTGCTACTGTAGGCCGAAAGCCGCCAAAGATAATATGTACAGGAATGAACATGGAAGAGCTCCCAACAAAACTGTATTTCAGAATTCAAATTGGAATTTGATATAATTTTCACATCTCATAAATATTCTTTCGCTGGTTATTTAAAGGCATTTTAAAATATACCCCCCCAAACACAACAAAATATTTTTAGCTCGTGGGCAATGTAAAACAGGTGACAGTCTGGGCTTGCCTTCTGGCTGTAGTTTTCTGCCTCTGGTTTTAGGTTGTAGGGAGGAGAAGGGGGTGTGTTGCAAACACCTTGCTAGATTTGAGAAGGAGGAAGGCTGGGAATCTGACACATCATATCCAGGCTTCATGATTCTCAGGACATGTGTTCTAATATAATAAGTTAGGCTCCAGAAAATCCAGTTCTGTAATATTTTCTACTTACTACTATTTATAATGGATGCCCCTTAGATGTTGGTTCCTAACTACCTAATCATTTTCTCCTGATACATTTTTTTTATAGTCCACTTAAAAAAATTGGCCACTTCGCTTCATTTCCACATCTCTGCGTGAGAAAGCTCTTTTCTTTTTTTAAAACTCTTGATTATGAATTCGGGGAAGGTTCTCAGAGCTGATCCTAGGGTTCCATTCACCTATTTGTACACATTCTGATTCAACTCATCTGTGGCAGCCCCTTTCCTGTACCTTCACGTATCCCACTTCCTCCCTGTGTTTCCCACTTCCATACCTCCTCCTTTCCTAACCCTCTGAACTTCCCCTTCTGTAAATGTTGCCCCTTCGATCGTAAACAGTTGATTTATTATAACATGAAAGTGAATTCAGTCCCAGACCTGAAGGATAAGTAAGGGCTAGTCTCTCAGGGCCAGACCAGTAAGCCTGGCCTCTTTTATGATTTTCTGGGGTTTGTCTCCCACTCTACCCAAGCCTTCTAATGCGATTGGATGAGGACTCACAGGGCTAGTGACCGTGTGCTTTTAACAAATGACAGGGGAGACTCTTGAGTGTGACCAGAATCCATCTTGATGTGTTCTCTGACAATGGCCTGTGTGCAAACGATATGTCCTGCAGTCTTTCTCTGTGTGGAGGTAAGCTCCGCAGAACTGGTGTTCTGTCCCCCAAGCATTCTAGCCCCGAGCCAAATAGCCACCATTCATACATTTATATGCTTGCTATGATTAATTGGCGAGGAGACAACTTGCAAAGCTACTTCTACTGATGTTCACCAGGCCTACAGTTACATTCTAATAGACTCTAGTAAGTAAGTGCTGCTGTATTCATGGATACAGGTGCTTTTGTAGCTGCCCTAGACCATGGCTTTAGACTTGGTCCTCTTTTATGAACCAGTTGCCAGGAATTGGAGTTCGGTAACGCTCTCACTTCCCATGACAACAAACTCCTTTCCAGGGCATTTCTCAGCGCTATCCCTTCTCACTCAGCTGAAGGCACCCTGAGAACAAGCTTCCTCAGAGGAGTTCTGGCCCTTGGCGGTTGGAATGGGGAGGGGCAGGCACCAATTTGAATGCGCAGAACCTCAGTTGTGTGGTTTCCGCTCAGCCATTCAGAGGCAGTCCTCTGAGTGGATATGCTTGCAGCAGGCGGCCTTCTTTAAACATAAATTCTGGATTGCTCCCTTCCTGTTGTCCTTAGTCTTATTTTAGCATTTTGGTTTTACCTTTCCCTGCTTAAGTCGAGAGGGGTGGGTGTGGCCGCGAACTCTCAGGATACTGAATTCTAAAGGTGGTTTGGATCTTTGAGTTTGTGACTTCACCTTTCATTACCCTCGTCATAGGGCTCCTGCCCAGCTTGGTAGACCAGTGGTGGACAACCACGGGAGGGGCCACAGCTTCTTCTCTAGAGGAATTGACTCTGCTCTTCTGGCTTGAGACACTTGGTACATACCCAAGAATTAGCAGAATGCTACAAGGAGCTCTAACCATATGGCGATTAAATGGTAAACGGCTAACCCAAAGATTTCTAGTCGGAGTCCACTCAGCGGTTCGACTCTGGAGTCGTGTTGAGTCCAGATCATCTCACCATCACTTCACAAGAGCAACCTTTCCTACCAGGAAAAAATGAATGCCTGGCTTCTGCTTCTTATTTGCTTCTAAAATAAATGAAGCCAAGCTGGACCACATGGAATGCCAAAAGCTAATGAAATGTGTGTGCTTCTAAAGGAGCAAAGTAAAATGTTCAAGAATGACCCCCAAGTTTGCTATCATTAGCAAAATCTGGAGGAGTGGTTAGTTCACTTTGTATAAACAAATGCCTTATTTACTCTTAGGTCTTAAATTCCATCTTTGTGTCTAAATTGCAATTCTCACCAGTATTTTTCACCCACAGATAACCCTTTCAGGAGAAAAACATAACAACTCATTTTTTTTAAAAGGGAGGAGACAGATATTACTTTTTAGAAATGTTGGGGTGTCTCAGTTAAAAATGGGAGCGGCTCATCATGCTATATACATATAAAGATCTCGCCAACCCTGACTTATGATTCTACCACTTGTTTTCTTAGTTTTAGTTTTTGTAATTTAAGACTGGTGTGTGAAATCCTGACTACTATTATCAAGCATAGTTTGGAGAGTGGCTTAGATAGTTGCTTTTGATATAAATAAGTAGGTTCAATTCGATTCAATCCAACTGTGGTAGTCACCCTAGATGGCAGAATTGTCAGTAACTTCCAACTCTCCTCCCATCATGTCCCTCATTGTCTGGAGAAGGTGCCAAGCTGGTTCATCACCTGCCAACTACCTGCCAACTGTTCACTATAGAACTGCTGGTTGGAGGATTCTCTGCTCAGCTGCATTTAGTAGACTAGAAGGTGGTATCTGATTTGTACGCTTAGGGAGATGGGGCACTTCTTGTTTCTGCCTATATCTCTGTGAGCATGCAGGAGAAACTCCATTCACATGGGGCACCTCCTTGAGCCTTCCCCAGCTGTCTCACCACTTTCTCACCCAAAGGAGAGGAGTAACTTGATCCGACTGGTGACTTGGAAGAAGAGACCAATAGGAGTAGCATCTGCCATACTTTCAGAGGCACAGGACTGGATCTGCTGGGGAAGGCTGATTCCACTGGGATGCTCGTTGGGACTGAGTAAGACTGGGAACGGAAGTAGAAAGCCATTTTCACAGTTATACCTCTTCTCTGTATCAGCTTGATCAATATAAAGCTGAATTTTAATAGTGATATTTTTGGTTCTACATCTGATTCTATGTGTTAGTTTTAGTTTACAAACTGGTTCAGAAGTAAGGCTGGAAAGGGAAGAACTGTTGGCTTTTTGATCCCTACCACAGTGATCCTCAAAAGAAATGTGTCTGGGGTTTACCTGAAAGACCTTGCCCATAGAATGGCTGTCCCTGTTGCTGATGGATCCCAGTAATAGTCTTGAAGTTGGCTTGGTTTTCAAAATGCTTTGCTTTGACTCATACACGGATTCATTTTTTAAGGATGGTGATACACATACCTAGAATGGCCTAAAGTCCTTTACCGCTGCTCTTAAATTCAATTGTCCTTTGCTGTAGGCTACAATGGTGTTAGGAACCGTTCGTGTAACTATTGAGCTTGCTAATAACCAACCATTTGTATTTGCTATGACATAATTAAGCCTTCTGTCATCGCTGGGATACTTGCTTATTGAGGTCTCATGACATTATAACTAAGGGTGTACTATACTCATAGATGCTCCGGTTTGCAATATGATGTACACTTCCAGTTCAACTGTTTTTCGACTTTCTTCTTTGTAGGTTTGTGATTCTGATACTATGCTGGACCCTGCCTCATCTGTGGAGATGGTGAAAGTGTTAGAAGAAGACCCCATGGTTGGAGGAGTTGGGGGAGATGTCCAGGTGCATGTCTTCACTTTTTGCATCAGGCACACTTAGTTGTACTTATTTTTACTCATTGGCCCATGGAACACAATATATCTTGCATCATGCACCGTATACATTAAACACTGTTTGTTAGTATTGTTCTTGGCTGAGGATGACATACATTAGAATATGCCTTGTGCCCACTGCATGCCATCTTCTGTTGACTTAGTTTAAATACTTTCTTAGCTTAGTCCTTGAAAAATAAAATACACGTCTACAGGGACTCATCATTATAAAAACCATGCTATATAATGATTTCTACCATATCTCCTCCAGCAAAGTGATGTTCTGCTATGCTTTGATATTAAAAATGTGTTCAGTTGAGAGGGAATGAAATGGAACTATGACATGAGGTGCATTCTGTATCTTTCACCTGTTTTTAAAAAGAGGCTGATATGTAATTGATCAACAACCCAAATTAGAAAATAAATGAAGGGGAAACAGCCATTAAAATCATGCTAGAAAGAAAGGCAAAGACATACTTGTGTCTCGGATTCACTAACATGACACCTAATTGTCTCAGTGGAGAAACAATGAGACAAATACATAGTCATTGGATAATTTGTACTTGGGGATAGAACAATAAAGAAGTGATGAAAATTGCAGTGAGTCCCTTGCAAATGTGAGATTAGATTTTATCAAAAGGGGCAAAGCCCACTGGAAAGTAGGGGTGAAAGCGTAGGTGTTCTATTGCTGCACACGTTGATAGTGATGACAGAAATGCACGAGGGAGCCTGGAGAAATAACTTGGCAATAAAAGAATGAAAACATGCAAAAGTCACATAAAATTGAGCAAAATGGGACACGAGAGAATGCAAGGGACATAGCTGATAGCTTATAATGGCCTTTATACAACACCCAACCCAAACCCATTGCTGTCAAGTCAATTCTAACTGACTAGAATCCTACATAGGCGTTCCAGATGGTAAATCTTTATGGGAACAGACAGCCTCCTCTTTCTCCTATGGCATGCCTGGACAGAAGCCCAATGCTTGTTCCTCAGTGCTGCCAAGGCTCCTTCGCCTTTGTACAGAGACCATCTTGCCAGGATTCACATTTGGAAGGTCACACCAAACCTGCTGCTCACTGGCATTGCAGAAACGTGTAGCGGGAGGAGAAGGGAAGCTAGACTCGCCAAGACTTCGATGAGTTGAAATGTAAGCAATACAGGAGCCTCAAACCCTGAACCAAACCCATCCCCATCTAGTTGATCCTGAACCACCCCACCTACTGCCATGGAGTTGCTTTTGACTCGTAGGGATCCTGTATTCCATGTACGAGGCTGTAACTCTGGGAGAAGACAGCCGCATCTTTTTTTCCCTCAGAGTGGCTGATGGGTTCAAACTGCTAACCCTTCTGTTAAATCTACTGTGGCACCAGGGATGCCTTTCAGACCAGAAAAGCAAAGCAGACTATCTTTTAGGAGAGTATCTTGTAAAAGAAGGTGGGAACTGAGAACTAAAAGCCAAAAAAGAAACATCATAATAAAGGAGCAAGAAGAACAAGAGCAAAAAGAATAGCCGATGAAGAGAGAAAAAATGCCCTCAAAGTGTACGTGCACAATACACACTCACACAAGAAGTGATCACATTCATCTAATCACACGGAATCAAGGGGCCAAAAAAAGAAATCAAACAGACGTCAACCAAGTCCCAAAGGGCCAGGAACTCAAAGTAGAAGGGTAAATAGCAAACCTCACTCTAAGTAGTAACTTCAAGTTGGGGAAGGTTTTGTTAATATTCTGGATAAAGCTGACCATTTATTTACTTGTTTGTTTACTATTTTGCAGATATTAAACAAGTACGACTCCTGGATTTCCTTCCTCAGCAGTGTGAGGTACTGGATGGCTTTTAACATAGAAAGAGCCTGTCAGTCGTATTTTGGGTGCGTCCAGTGCATCAGTGGACCTCTGGGCATGTACAGAAACTCCCTGCTGAACGAATTTGTAGAAGACTGGTACAATCAGGAATTCATGGGCAGCAAATGCAGTTTTGGCGATGACCGGCATCTCACGAACCGCGTGCTAAGTCTGGGCTATGCCACAAAATACACAGCTCGATCCAAGTGCCTTACGGAAACCCCTATAGAGTATCTCAGGTGGTTAAACCAGCAGACCCGCTGGAGCAAGTCCTACTTCCGCGAGTGGCTCTACAACGCAATGTGGTTCCACAAGCACCACTTGTGGATGACCTACGAAGCGGTCATCACTGGGTTCTTCCCTTTCTTTCTCATCGCCACCGTCATCCAGCTCTTCTACCGGGGCAAAATTTGGAACATCCTCCTCTTCTTGTTAACCGTCCAGCTTGTGGGTCTCATCAAATCCTCCTTTGCCAGCTGCCTCCGAGGAAACATCGTCATGGTCTTCATGTCTCTGTACTCAGTGTTATACATGTCGAGTTTACTTCCCGCCAAGATGTTTGCCATCGCAACCATAAACAAAGCCGGGTGGGGCACCTCGGGCAGGAAAACCATCGTCGTCAATTTCATAGGTCTCATTCCAGTATCGGTTTGGTCCGTCATCCTCCTGGGTGGTGTGATTTTCACCATTTACAAGGAATCCAAAAAGCCATTTTCAGAATCCAAACAGACCATTCTCATTGTGGGGGCCTTGCTCTATGCGTGCTATTGGGTCATGCTGTTGATGCTGTATGTGGTTCTCATCAATAAGTGTGGCAGGCGGAAGAAGGGGCAACACTTTGACATGGTGCTTGATGTATGATCTTCCCTGTTGGGGGTTTACAGTTAACACGTGCAGACACACGCAACACCTGGTTCCCCGACGAACCGTACAGTATTGTGACGTCAGATAATGCCACCAAAGGAGACATATCACTGCTGCTGGCACTTGAACAAGAACGTTGCTCTGTTGATACACGTTGATTCTGCCAAAGTAATGATCCATCCGACAAGAAGGAACTCAGATTCGTTAGCCTTTGATTTCTATGAAAATGGGATGGCTTTTTCGATTGCGCACTTTTTCTCACTGTGCATCTGCCTGACAATGTTTTGCCCGACATACCTCACTAGCCATGCTTTATGTGGGTTATCATGGAAGAAGAAGAAGAAGAAGAAGAAAATTTTTTTAGAAACTCAAGGAAAAAGTTCTTTCAACCTATACAACCTAACTTATGGACTGTTTTGATAGCTTTTTTTTTTTAAGGAATGATTTTTATGGTTTATTCTACCAAATGAAATGCCAAAGGAAATTTTAAAGGCTGTTGGCTGTGCTGTAATTTTTATAAAATTGTACTGTGTTTTGAAATTTTGTATGGAAATTTTAAAAGCAAGTTTTGCATATTCTATATTTTACTTCTCTGCCAAAATACACATGTCTTTCCCTTTTTTATTTTAATAAAATAGGTTTTAAAAAAAAGTCATACTTAAAAAAAAAATCCTACCCAAAATGTGAAGCTTGGTGGAATCATGTTGTTCATGATAGAAAGAATAAAATGTTTCTCTCTCTCTCTACCTTGTAAAACGGAATAGTTTATTTCTGTGGAAAACAAACAAACTATTTAATCATTGAATACTTTAACTCTTTTTAAACTTCTTTTCCAGAAGGCCAGTATAACTGTCACACTTGGGGAATAAGAGTATATCCTTATGTGTGTACAAAAAGAAAAAAGAAAATCAAGGCCAAAGGGATAGAAAAGTGCAATCCCCCACCCCCCCCCAAAAAAAAGAAAAAGATAATTCTTGAAAGAAAACACGGAGAACACAGCATTAGACAAAACGTGCACATTAAAGATGAATATTCTTTGGACATTCTGGACGTGTTATCCTGGGCTGATTAAATGGAAAGTAATGAACTACAGGAATGAGCCCTGAAAGTATAGTCTTTAAACAGAAAGTAAAAAATAAAAACAAAAAACCCCATATAATTTGGTCAAACCATGTAGTTCATCAAGGTTTTCTTTTGTGGCCTGAATCACACAGATACTATTTGTTTACTGAACATGTTTTACCTGCCTTTCCAACCTGCAGAGAGGTTTACATAGGGAAGTTGATTATAATAAATATAAAGCAAACAGATTCACAATTGGCAAATTCAAGCTGAAAGTACTCTTTTACTTCCAAAGGGATTTACTCTGAATTATACAGATAATTGCTTCATCTCTCCTGTTCTTGGCCTACATAAATATGTTTACACAGTAGAAATAATATCAAGGTTTAATAACGCCTAAAAATTGGCACATATGAAAATCCGTAAGCCACACACTCTGAACTTTGCTAATTTAGTTCCTCCAGGGTCCTGATTATTCAGCGGGAATTTTGACACACCAAGGAACCCAGGTGGTATCATACGTTACACATTGGGCGGCAAACCCAAGGTCAGTAGGTCAAAACCGCCTGCCGCTCCACAGGAGAAAGATGAGGCTTTCTGGTGCCAGAAAGTTAAGTCTCAGAAACCCGTAGGAGAAGTTCTATCCTGGCTGACAGGGTCACTGTGTGTCAGAATTGTCTCGATGGCAGTGAGTTTGGTTTTGACACATCAATTTTATCTTGTAGCTGGTGCTCTGTAGACTTGGCTAGAAATATGAGGACATGAATAATTGCATGAAACGTATTGATGTTGAAGCAGAGACTAGAGAAGAAGTGTTAACAATGTTCCCAGCCCCCTGCTTTTCATGCAGATAGTCATGTTCCAACAATCTTGCCTAAGACAAAGCTGCACATTCCACCTTCGGAGAACAAAAACTCAGACGCTCACCGCCTGGAGAGCTTGTGGGAAGCAAACACCATGCCAATCAATGAGACTAAAACTTGATTTTGCCTTTTTAACTATTTATGTTCTAAGTTAAGCTTTGATAACATTCAAATGTCAAATTCTCTCATTCTTATAAAAGGTTGAATTAACTGCCTGTATTTATTTTAGCAAGTATTCCAATTATTCAATGTTATTTCCAGCATAGGATGTATAGTGTGATTGATTCTTTTGTAAATAAAATATTTTTGATAAAATCATTGCCTTTTTTTTCTAAGGGAAGGGGGAATTTAAAACACTTATTTTCATGATTGCTGTGGTATGGCTATAAGAATGGTATGTTTAAGAATGAGAACTCATGGTTGGTCAACTGATGGTTGACCAACTGATATCAATAAGTCACTTAATACTACTTATTGAAATGTAGAAATCTCCCACATTGGTGTGTTTTGGAAATCTGGAACACCTGAGAAAGAGACTGACACAATTAATCTTGTTTTTTCCTATTTGTCTCTGGATTTCTTCCCTCTATCATCCTTGAAAGTAGCCCTAATTCAGACAAAAGTTATGTTATTAAAGTACTTTTAATAACAGAAAAATATCTGATTTGCAGGAAATGTATATCATGTATATAATATCCAAAGCTTAAATACATTTCCAGTAATAAAGGCAATACTAGTTCTGGAATACCCAACCATGGGGGTCACTAACCAGTAAACACAATGTTTCCAGAGTATGAGGACATTGGGGAAATGTTACATAAAAAAGACACTTACTGACGTAATTTTGTACAGTAACATCCCTATTTTTTTTAATGTTTAAGCATGGTTATCTCTAATACTGAAAATATGACCAACTTATATACTGTATACATCTTTGTATTTCAAAGTACCACAAACATGTATTTATGGTGAGAACAAAAGATAATAAATGTTGATTTTGATAAAATGGGTTAGGACATCCAATAGCATTTCCTGGGTTGGGAATCTTGGATGCTAATGATCTCGTTTTAATATTTATCTCCTAAGGTTCACACTTCCCAATTCTTCTTGGTACTTAAGAATCCTTTAGTAATTCGGTACAGGTACATTATAATGAGCCAATGGCACTGCACATTATTGTCCCTCTAGGCAGCAGCAGTTTGGATTCTAGTTCTGATAATGCATTAAGTCACTGGTGCTCTACTAGAGGTTGGTAACCTCTTATTGAAAACAATCACTAGACTATATTTTAG